TCTCAACCTTTTCCCCCAAACCAACAAACATGTGCACATACATATAAACAAGTAAACATGTAGTCATGACAACCATCCTATAACCAGGATACTAATCTAACCGACCTCTATCATAACAACCATCCTATAACCAAGATACTGATCTAACCGATCTCTAACATAACAACCATCCCATAACTATGATACATATCGTAAAGCATAATGTGCAATAACCCGGATACAGATCCGAAAAGGGCCGACATTAGTGCCTTTGACCCTGTTAGTATAGTGATGACAACTCACCTTGCAAATGTCGTACTGACGTGATAAGCTCAAACTCTCGAATCACAGCCATAAACTCCACCACCTATAATTGCCATAAGACCACTTCCGTAAATTCCCAATTACCAAAATACCCTAGAATCCAACTAGTAAATCCTTGGTCAAAGTCAAAGTCAACGGTCAAGGTCAATAGTCCATGTTGACCCGACTCGTCGAGTGTAGTTTACTGACTCATCGAGTGCAGTTCACTGACTCGTCGAATCCTTCCAGAACTCAATAAGTCGTGAAATCCCTAGTTGACTTGTTAAGTTTTCCTGCAACTCGCCGAGTTCATGCCTATCTTAATGTCGGCAAAACCCTAGTTGACTCGACGGGAGTCATCCTACTGACTCGCCGAGTCCATGCAAAAATCCTTGCACGACAATCTTCATCGGACTCACCAAGTTGGCCATGCAACTCGTTGAGTCCCTTCAGCCCTTTCTCCATTTCGATGCTTTTTAATCCACTCCAAAGCTCCATATTACAGATCAAACTTCCCAAGGCATGTTTATCACGTAAAGTTGCAAACTTTACGTGCATACAAGGCTCTAAAGGATTAGAATGTCAAATCCAAGCTTATAATGGGGTTTAACTCAAAAAGGGAAGGTTCATACTTGCTAAAGCTGGAGACTTTACAACTATAGAGACCAACATAAGCTCAGATATGAAGTTGCAACTTCAGATCCTAGCTCACACTCGAAAATGGTTAATATATATACTAGAAAAGTCGTAATCTTAAACATAAAGAGATCTAGAAAGAGGGAAGGTCAAGGTAACGACTTGTTACCTTCAAACTGATGCAAATAAGGAGAGGAGTCAGATCCACTAGCTCCTCTTGCACTACTCTTATTATACTTCAAGTCTTCTTGCAAATCACCTTCTAAGCTTGAAAATCACACAAGAATAGAGTGCACACACAAATTAAGGTTTATGGACTCACAAGTGGCTGTAAGGGGAGGCTAAAGGGGGAAAAAGGATCCTTTAAATGGGGTGCAAAACCCAGAAATTAGGGTTTCATCCTTCAGCTCCAACTCGTCGAGTCATGTCCTCCGACTCGTTCAACTGGTCACTTAAACACGTGGCCAAAAACGTTCCTACTCGACGAGTCAGGGCATCGAACTTGTCGAGTAGACTTTTCAATATGAAAAAATAAAGTTGTAAAATTAATACATGAGAGTCGGGACGTTATACTTTTATTTTCTCAAATAAATACATCAAATTTATCCATTGGTAATTTGACAATATCCCATGATTTAGATTTGACACCTTGATTTAAATATTTTTATGTATAAGGTCATTCAAAATTTTATTTTACATTCTAAAATAAAATTTTATTTTACATTCTAAAATAAAGTGTACGAGCGATTATATAATTTTCACTTTCAATTTAAAATGTAATTGTTTATTTCTTAATTTATAAAATATAAAAGACATGTTCGGTACGGAGCGTTTGAGAGCTTTTAGCTTTTAGCGTTTAACAAAACGCTCCATTTTGAAAAGAAAATCTCGTTTGGCACTACAAGCTTTTAGTGTTTAGTTTAAACAAAACGTTTCAAATTCAAATGCTACTTCACGTAGCATTTAACAAAACGCTACCAACTAGAAGCTACCCGCTACCAACTATTTTTGCCGAACACGTTCGAAGTAAAGTTGGGTTGAAATATTTATTCTATTTTACGCTCTATAAATAAAATAAAATATAAAATATAATAAAACTAAAGATACTTTTATTTCCTCAAATAAATATATCTATTTTATACATTCATAAAGAAATCGTGGGTATAAAGATTGTAAGAGAAATGTTAATTTTTAATGAGAGTAATCTAAACGAAATTTATAATAAACTCAAATATGAATACATAAACATAAAGATCGTTAAAATCTGAGATCATATAGAGAGATTATGACGTTCAGAACACAAGATTTAAACCAAACAACAAGACTAAACTACCCCTTAGGGTTTAGGTATTGTCTTTATATATTTTTTAAAGATAAGAAAGTTATCGTATCTACATAATATCAAAGCTTTAGATAAAACCCTATGAAGTTGAACACAAACCTAAGCCGCCGACCTCCACGTTCAACGACCTTCTATTCTCGTCGTCGGACGTGCCTTCTCTTGTTGTCATCACCTCATTTTCCACTATCACCTGCATATTTAATGCCATCGCCGCTGCCTTCGGTTCTAGCAGCCGTCAGTATCTATAATTCTTGATTTTTGACTCTACAAATCTTACTGTTGGCCTGCATTCTTTGAATCTACTATTTGTTTCTTTTCATCTTTGTCAGTTTAATCGTCGTCGTCCAATAGTTATTCTCATGATAAAACTGTGGGGATGTTAGTTCGTAGGGTTAGGGTTTGAGCTCAATATGTTTCTTTGCAATGCTTATTTGAAAGATAATAACTTGCAAATTGATTCCCTATGGCCACAATAAGATATATGGAACCAAAAAACAAGCAAAAAAACTTGTAGCTTTCTTTAATGCGTACAATAACAAAAAAAAAAAAAGGGTTGTGTCATAAATGATGATGACAAGACATGAGAAGAATAGAGAAATCAAAATAAATTTCTTGGATATATGGAAATGTTGGTGATTTTAGTGTCACCATGTCATTTTATGTAAATGGAACTAACATGTGAGCTAAGGGGCTTAATACTTTGTACTTTAATATATGTACTGTTTTGTGCGGAGTGCACACGTGTATAAGATCGAATTAGAAGCTGGTTCTACGACAGGTCGGGGGTTCAGGGGCAGTGCCCCTGGGTCCGGGGTTTCCAAAGTGTCAGTGCCCCTTTGGTGGGGTCTAGGGGCAGCGCCCCTGGTTAGGCTCTCGTTATTAGCTAACGAAATTCATTAGTTTTGGAAACCCTAAATCCTCATTAAATTTCGGATTTCCTAGCTTGCTTCCAAAGCAATCCATGACGACCAACCCTAAGAGAAACCCTAAAATCGTTTATTATATAGACGTCTCTTCTCTTTGAGAAGATACACTCGAAAACTATTAGCTCTCGTTTTCTTCAAACAAACATATAATCTTTATAGCAATTTGGCTTACGATTTTTATGCCTAGAATCGCAAGTGTCATATTGGATTATCCTAGGCTGAATTTCTTGCAACTCAGACATATGATAGAAATATCAGTTTGAAAAATGTTCGCACGATCCATGTGGTATCGAGATCTCCAACATAAACCATATTTTTTCCAACATAGAAAAGAAAAACACTATTACAAATGTATTACGTAACTAACTTGTTTATTGCCTTGACCATTTAGTTTTGATGATATGATGGTTGTGTGATATATATCTGACATATCATTAAAATGACATGTGTATTATCATCTTCTTCACCCATCAAAGACCCAATATTCTTTTGCAAATCATCCTTAAACCAATTTGTGTTTTGTTGATTATGCTAATACAATCCAACATATTTACATATGTAAATATGTTCTAAGTCATTGACAAAGATGTATTTCATGGTACAAACATAAATACGAAGATGGACATAAATTCTTAGAGTGTTCGAAGTGGGCAACACCCACATGCATTATTAGCAGAATAGAAAGGAAATGTCGTTACCGGATGTTGTGGTGGTAACAGGAAGCAACCGGAATACCTATAACACGCAATAACGATGGAAAAGAGGCGATGTTCTTAGACGTTATTAGGTGTTACTAAGGGTGGTACCTAGTAGCATTACTTTTGCCGTGATTTTCACATGCATGATGCATCGCACATGGTCTTTAACGGGTTGTTGCTGACGTCAAGTTTAAGAGACCATTTTGGAATAAAGGCTTTTCAATTTATACTAAAAATACAATAAAATATAATTTGACATAAAACTACATGTTATCAGATAATCGAGGGGCCATTTACGTAACTTAATTCTCGTAAGTTGTAACTCGGATGTTCCGACTTGCATTTTGGCGGTGGGCATTTGTAATTGTCCGATTTCAGATAGAAAACAGACAGATAGATAGATAGGGCATCGATTAAACAATTAATTTGGGTGTTACGATCGAGTTGCTGTCGAAAATCTCTACACTCGCGATTATCGCTCATTCCTCTGTAAGTGCTGTCATTCAATTCGCAGTAAATTAGGAACAATTCTATAATCTCTCTCTGGGTTATTCGCAATCGAGAACCCAAACGAGGGTACTGCAATCTTTTGTTTATTTAATGCTGTTTTACTTTTCCGATTTCTTCAATTATGGATTGTATTTAGTTTCAATTTTGGATTCACTGTGTTTTCCTTCACCGATTGGAAAGGAATTTCGACTTTTCGAGTGACATGTTTATTCATCTGAACGAGCTTTTTTTTTTTTTTGTTTCCATAAAAAATCTAGCCATAGTTGAGTTTGGAAACTTCATCGGATCTTTGTATGACCTTTCGCCTCCCTAAATCTATAGACTTATAACCCCAGCTTGATTTAAGTACATGTTCTTGCAACTTTCAAGTGAGCCAAATTGGATTTTTCACTTTTTACGAAAAGCCATAAAGGTCAATTGATGAAGAACAACACAATTCTTTTGTTGCTTTTGGAGTGTGGTGGTTTGGCAAATGACAAATTTCATTTAACGTCATGTGTTTTGCTTTTAGTAAAAGTAACTTCAGTTTTCTATTTTCTTGCAGTTTATAATCGTTTCTGTTGTTCTATGACATTGGTGATTTGAGAGACTTCAGGGTACAAAAAGATGGCTTGTAAAGGGTTTTTAGAGTGCTTGTTGAAGCTCCTGAACTTCTTATTGACTCTTCTGGGTCTGGCCATGGTGGGCTATGGGATATACTTGTTTGTTATGTACAAAAATGCAACTGATGATGATATGGATTCCCTACCAACAAATGAAGGATTGATACAGCTTGGACGCCCTATGTTAATGGCTGTGTCACTGTCTAGCAACAGCTTTTTTGATCACTTGCCTACTGCTTGGTAAGTTGATTGATTATGACAAAAGATTCTGAAGAGTTACTCTGTTTATTTAAACTTAGTCTAACTCTAAAGAAACATATGTGGGGCTCTAGATTTATACTTTCTCCTAATTACTATTTTTCCATGATGTCATATCATTCAATTATCTATAGTGGTTTGCCTGTTGAATCCAAGTTGATTTTTCTCACTGGAACATCAATCACCCATCTTAGAACATCCCCAAATCCATAACACTATTTTTTGCACCACAACATTGTAATATATGGTACAAACACCGATTCATCTCCAACCCACCGTTTTTTACATTAAAAAATAATAATTTTGGAGTACATTCCTCTTTCCTAACTTATATTGTTTTATTAAAATACCCCTTATATATTTGTTATTTTGTGTGCAGGTTCATTTACCTATTTATTGGTGTTGGTGCAATCGTCTTTGTCATATCTTGTTTCGGGTGCATTGGTGCAGCAACAAGAAGCGGATGTTGCCTAACTTGCGTATCCTACTTTTTATTTATTATGATAAGGCTTTTTTTTTTTTTTTTTTTTTTTGTTAATGGATGATTGAGTTCCTTAAGGAAATTCACTATACAGTACTCTTTACTTTTGATCTTGTTGATCTTGGTAGAAGTCGGATGTGCAGCTTTCATCTTCTTTGACAAAACCTGGAGAGATGTGAGTTCTCTTTTACCCGCATCTTAATTCTCACCATCTTTCAAATGTATCTTATTAATTAAACAAAAAAACAATATCTTTTTTTTTTTAGGAGATCCCAAATGATGAAACCGGACAATTCGACGCGATATATGGATTTCTAAAGAAGAACTGGAATATCGCCAAATGGGTTGCACTTGGAGCTATTATATTCCAGGTAAATGTAGCAATCAATTAATTAATTTATCATAATACTTTGAAAAATCTACCCAGTTGAATTATAGGAGTGTCATCCAAATATAATAAATATATGCAGGCTTTGGTATTTTTGTTAGCACTTATGGTACGTGCTGCAAATGCACCACCTGAATATGACAGTGATGACGAGTACATAAGTGGTCCCCGCCAGCAACGCCAGCCTCTCATTGGTCGGCAACAGGCTCCGGTCACAGGTGTCCCCGTCACCGCAACCCTAGATAGCCGCCCAAGTAGAAATGATGCATGGAGTGCTCGCATGAGGGAAAAGGTGCATTTTCATTTTCTTTTTTTTTGTAAAATTAAATCAAAAAAAAAAAAAAAAAAAAAAAAACAGATTTAAGTGTTTTGTTGGTATGATCGCAGTATGGGCTTGATACGTCAGAGTTCACGTACAACCCTAACGACCCAAACAGAAGTCAGCAGGGCAATGCACAGCCGACAGAGGAAAAGGGTGGTTGCATCATCATGTGATGTCAGAGCGACACGTGGGCATGTCTGATTGGAGAGTTTGTTGGTTGCGACTGATTGGTTTGATGTAATGTAGAGTTCAAAAAAAAAAAAAAAAAAACATAATTGTTATTGTTGTGTGTGTGTATAAAACATAAAATATCAGGAGCTTATAAGGCTCCGACGTTTGTGATGTTATCACGTTTGTGAGAAATGGACTCTTTTGTATTTTGTAATGGTACCATGTTTGTGAATTGATTGTGGTGTACTTGGTGTAGATAGTTTGATTAATGTTCTTAACGTTATTGGAAGACAGAACGTCACATGATACATATGGGACATACTCCCATATGTATCTTAATTTTGAAAATTGAAGTTTTGTTTTGTATTTTTATCTAGTATCCAGTCAACGAAATGTCGTAACGTCATTTTTATTAATTAAATTTCTTTGGTGATTTTAAACCAATTGGAATAAGAGGATGAAAGTTGGAATTTGGGATTTGGTTATGGTGGGGGTGGGGAGGTGATAGATTGACATTTGATAGGCCAACCTCCAACATGGGGTTCCACCACCACCGGTATACACTATCGTCGTTATTTTATTTATTCCGACTGTTTAAGCAAATGGAATCTTCCACCAAGTTTATGTTTATGGGGTCCCTCTGTCGATAATCGAAGTCGATTACTTTATTCTTGATTGATTTTACATGAGTTGTAGTACAATGAAACAGGAATCTGGGGAAGAACATCGGGAATTTGATTAATACTTTTTAGAAAATCTCTACTTTTTTCTTCACTCTAATTCTTGTTATATTCTTCAAAGAACTTTTATGGAATTAAAAAAACTTCTAACATATATATAAAAACATGTCTACCGATATGTGCCACAATAACATTCACCATCACCCTCAAAGAGCAAAACTCGATGAAGATAGACAACGAGGTGTTAGCAATTAAGAAGATAGACAACAAGATGTTGAGCAATTAAGAAGATAGACACGGCTTTTAATATCATGTAAAATTTATATGAATTCTTTTTAATTATTTTAAATTAGTTTATAATCCATAAGAACTACAGTTATAAAACTAATTAAACTTTTATAATAAAAATTTATAATTATTACAATTATTTTAAATAAATTATTAATTAAGAGATATATAGAAAATTTAAAGTTATTATAACTTCAAATTTAACATATAATTAGAAAATATAAATTTGAATTTTGAAATAAGTTGTCTAATATATCTACATGATACATATCATAATATTAATAAGGAATTGTATTATAGTAACAATTAGCAAAAGGAGAATAAAACTATTTATTTATTAAAATAGGGACTAGTTGTGAGATCCATGTATTACATGAGTTAATTATATATATATATATATATATATATATATATATATATATATATATATATATATATGTCAAAAGATTTGAGAACCTTAAATTTATAAGAAAATAAAAAATAATGAATTATTATAAAGAAAATGTTTTTTATCTTTTATATTTAAATATATAAAAGAAACTAATTAATTTTAATTTTGAGAATTTTGAAATTAAAAGGTAAGTTCATTAATGAAATTGATATCTTTTTATTACTACATTTATTACAATTATTACATTAAAATATTACGTGAAATTTAATAAAATAAAAAAAAAACTCATAAATGTCACGTGGAAAAAAATTAATTCAAAATAACCACAAAATGATATTTGACAAATTGAATGAGAGTAGAACAAGTGACAAAAAAAAAACATTTCATTTATTAAAGATGATATATATTTAACTGTAAGAGAGTAGACTTCAATATATAGAGCATAATGACTTTATATAGCTAATCTTATAATGACCTTATCTAAAAATGTTATCTTCCTATATTAATAAACCTTCCTATATTAATAAACGAATTGTAACACTCAAAATTTTCACCTATTTTTTTAAAAGACTTCTAAAAACATAGTTTTAATACCATCTCATCTCAAACATAACTGTCAAATACGTAACACCACAAAACATAGTCATAATATCCCATCATCCACAAATATCCCATCAGCAGACGAATGTGTACAATCATGTCGATGCCTTCCTGTGATCCTGAGATGTATCTGAAACACATTTACACCAACACTGTAAGCACAAAGCTTAATGAGATCCCCAAAATACTACATATACAATATAATTAGCTTATAATGGTTGTATCACGATAAGGACCCTCCGGTTATGTGTCTCAACAAAGACTCTCCGGTCTCACGTCTTAGTATGGATCCTCTGGTCATAACTTAAAATATACACATAATCATATAACAGCACAAGTCACAAAGACAAAATGCATAAAACACATAACTCGGTATAAGCAATTAAGACCTTCCGGTCAATGATACAAATAAAACCCTCTGGTCAATACATGCATCACCATACAAATAAGTATAGTGAGAAGACTCACCACTCGTAGAAAAGCAGGTAACCTCGCACCCGAACTACCGGTCTAGACTCCTCCTAAACATGCCACATATAACTCTAATTAATAATAATATCAATAACCCCAAATTGCTAGACCAAGCCTCTCAACTGAATATTGGAAGGTTAAAAGACCATTTTTGCCCCTCCTTGGTCAAAAGCTCTCAAATTAACCTAGACTCAAAAGTTAAGGAAAGTCAACACCCAACGCGTACGCTGGGCGTACAACCCTCTACGATGGGCGTACAACTGGCAAAGCATGTAACATGATTCTCTACTCTAATGCCCGTGTTTTGAGGCTAAGCAATAGTAGATGATGTAATAGTCTAAGTCAACTATTATAACTCTTTATGAAGTAATAAAGATGAAATATTTGAGTATTATGTGAATTATGTGCATTTATGTGCTTATTATTTATTTATAAATGTTTAATAAATAAGGATAAAAATAAGCGTCAAAATTAAAGTGTGAGATAATCTCAATATCTTTACATAAAATTGTAGTGGTCGAAACAAGGATTTCGGGGATATAAAGAACGCCGAAATCCGAGTTATAACGAAGAAGTTATGACCCGTCGAAGTTTCAGGACGGAACCGACATGGCACCGGGAAGCGTAAATAGTGAATTTATGATAGAGCGACTTTTAGCTTTAGCGATCTAAACGAAAGTCATAGACTACGTTAAACCAAGAGCATCCATAAAAAGAACGCCCAAATTTGACTTCGTATGAGGAAGTTATGATTTTTTGAAGTTTCGGCTTAACAGTGTACAACCCGGAGTCCAAATATTAGATCGAGCGGTATTTAGCCGACATAACCTAAATGAGAATTGAATGTCTCATTAATAGTAGCGTAACGATAAAAAGATAGACAAAAATGAACGTTGGATGAAGAAGTTATGAAATTTTAATGGATCAACCCTGTCCCGGCTTGTTAAAAATATAAAATTTAAAATAAGGTCAAAATAAGCCGACGGATTCTAAAGGAAAGGTGTAGAGTACATTCCCGCCTATGCGTGGATATAAAGAACATCGAAAACAGAGCTCGTATGCGAAAGTTATGAATTTTTTAAGTCGGGAAGGAAAATTACGAAACCTGATGCAAACTGATGACGTGGCCGCATCTCGGTCGTTGCTTGCTGATCACGGTTTGACCTTCGGATCTTGAAACGCCGCATCTCGGACGCCCAACGCTCGCATCGAACGCCCAACATACGAGTACGCCTCACATACGAAATCCCTATGCTGCACGGTCTAGCTTTCCTCGGTCCACAAGCCTCCACGTTCCCCCACCGAAGTGCCACTACCTGTCCACCTTATCCAAAGCTACGCCCTGCGTAGAGCTTCTGAACGCCCAACGTAGTGAGGCCTCTCGACCTATAAAAGGGAACCGAGGGCAGCCTCATTTCTTGCACCTTTCTCACTTCTCTCTCTAGTTTCTTTCTCTCTCTACCACTCCTAACCCCCTCCTAAGCCTAGGTAAACCCCTAGCACCCGAAGGAAGCCATGAGGCTCCCGGAGTCCCGAGAAAAAGAGTCTTTTGCTGCTCCAAGCGAAGTTCGGTTTTCTATAAAACCCGCTGTAAGCGAGCTACGCCTACGCTATTTTTAATATAGCTTTTATTTAATCATAGTAACATTATTAGAAACTTATAATAAGTACTTGGGCTATTATTATGGGTTATATAAGTATTGTTTAACACTTATATAATAGTAATAATAGCTAGACTATTAATTAGTCTCCGTGAATAGTAGACTAAACCCTAGTGGTAATGATACTAGGTTTTGACGAAGAAAATTGTTTCAAGAGTAACGAAGTGCTGTGTAAGTTCGGAATCACCACCTTAACATGTGAGTGCATAGTTATTTTCATCTTTCACATAGATATCATGTATTTAATATAAATTAGGTGCTATGTGTGCATAATGTCTGAATACTTGCTGTCTGTGTTGGGTGAAAGATTTTGTACACGTTTTAAATGATTTAAACTGTATATGTATTTTATATCTACAAAATGTATTGGGTAAAACATGGATAGATGTAATAGTTGTTGTGTGACCAAATAAAATAATGAGAGGCCTTGTTATCGATGTTATTGGTGATCCAGTCATCTAGTGGAGTATAGATGACGATCACGGACTATTCTAGACAGTCCAGTGGAACGCTAGCAGGCTCGCAACCTGTAGGTGTTTATTTGAACCGTGTGCTCACCAGCAGCACTCCATCCCCCACATGGTTGCCTTATTTGACATGAATTGCTAAGGAATCCCCGAAGCATGTGTTGTCATCTCGATGAAAGTCCTTAGACTAGGTCCCTTGTGTTAGATGTTTTAGGGACGTAAAGTGAGGAAAATGGGAACGGGTAATCGGGTTGTTTGGTTTGATAAAGTTAATAAACTTATTTATTGTGGGTTGAACACCCTATGTGTTCACCAGGCTCCTAAGCCTGACCCACTCAGTTTCTTGTATTACAGGTAGTGGTGCATGAACATAGATTTTTGGATAAGAGATTAGAGATTATAGGTCTGTAAATACGAAATAATGTAGTAAGGCTTATGTTGTACAGTTTATGCTTTTGATCTATATTGAACATGACATCCCGAGTCTTTTAATGAAATGCATTTTTATGGAAATGCTTTGATAAATCTTTATCATATTTTGTTTTGGGAACAAATTCCGCAACTCTTTTATTTAAAATATAACTCTGATTTTGAAACAAAGCATAAACAAATCAGTATTTTCTG